ATACTGTACAGAGGGGTTACAATTGCATGAGCAGGATAATGCGTACATTTCTTACCAAGCATTGCAGCCTCCTCCTTTGTTTACCCTTCACATCACTTCCCAGCCTCCCCAAGATCCTAATATTTTAGTAGTTCAAAAATAATTCCTAATTTTAAATGTATACTTAAGATATTAGAAATGGATTTGTTACCCCAAAGTCTTCAAAACTGAGTGACTTGTTTGTAATGCTTTGTATGGGTCCAGGGGTTGGAGGATACAAATTGTGTCAGTTTGAAAGTTGGATGTTGTCAGTGACCCTGGGGAGAGATGTTATGTCAAAGATCCTCTCCTCCTCCCTCTGAAGGAGGTGGTCTCTTTTTCAGAACTGCTACGTGGCTGGTTTGCTGCCAAAAAGCTGTCAGGACTACTTTTGTGTTTTGTAAAATTCAGAGCAGTTGCCTCTTCTTGGGAGTCCCAGACACATCCTCAGCTTCACAGTACAGCTCTTCTGACATCTTGTGTGGAGTCTTTTTCTCTTTACCTTGTGAAGGTACAGACTGGAAACACAGGGCGGAGGTTGGAAGTGCCCGGTCCAGCTTCCAGTTCAGCTGTTTGCTGCGTGTGCAGTCTCAGGTGCTCCGTGCCCACTGCACTGTGTGCTTTGATGCTCAGATGATGGAGAACAGGATGCTTCAGGGAGAAGAAACCCCAGCCTGCGAGTGGCGCCACTGCTCCCTGAGTTAGTTAAGTGGCTCTCCTCATGGAGTCTTTGTAGTGCTGCTCGGGCCCTGAGCTCACACACAGCATGTAGCTAAACACAACTGGAAGTCACCAGTCCCCTGCTCCGTGTTCTGCACAGGTGTCCGCCGGGTTTCGTGACCATCAGGAGATGTCCTTCCTTCAGTGTTGTGTCAGTAGTAAAAATGCAGCCTCCAAATAGTACATGCCATAGGTCTGAGAAAATTGAGTACAGACAATGGGTCTGCACAGGAATGCCGAGGGTGCGTGGTGCTGTGTCTGGCTTACGTTGAATAAGCTCATCTTCTAATACTGATTTCGTCACAGCTTTCAGTCTAAAGAGATTATTTACAGTCTTGCAGATTATTTGCAGTTAGGTGCCAGTGACTCTCACCCATCATCCTAGCTGCTTGGGAGGCTGGGGTCTGGAGGGCTGCGGCCAGCCCCAGCAGAAAAGTCCTGGAAACCCTGGCTTCGGTTAAACACCAGAAAGCAGAGCTGTGGCTCAAGTGGGTAGAGTGCTAGCCTTGAGCAAAAGAGCTCAAGGACGCTGCTGGCACTGACTGCAAGCCCCAGGCCCCAAAAACACAAATACACGCTCAGACCTCTCTTCACAGCTAAGACTTTCTGCCCATTCCCGTGCGCGCGCTCTCCCGTGCTGCCTGTGCCACGGGTTCAGCAGTGATCACCTGATCCAGCCGCAGTGATCTTGGCGGACTCCTAGGTGATTTGTACCTAGTGCTGCTGTCCAGACCCAAGTAGCTCCGTCACATTTCTCCAGTGCTGTGGAGTAACTACATCGTCCTGTCAGCAGACTTGTTTAGGACGCTCTCTTCTCTCATTTCAGCCATGAACCAGAGAATCAGTCAGAGCGCCCCTGTGAAGCAGCCACCGCCCTTGGCACCCCAGAGCCCGCAGGGAGCCCTCCTGGGAGGCGGGGGCTCCAACCAGCAACAGCACATGCGGCTGCAGCAGCTGCAGATGGAGAAGGAGCGGCTGCGGCTGAAGCAGCAGGAGCTGCTCCGGCAGGTGAGGCCACAGGTAGACACCAGCCTTCCGCTTTTCTTTCATGAACTCGGGCAGACTTCAGCGCAGTGTTGAGTGGTTGTGGAGGAACACTGTAAAGTGGGGGTCACCGCAGCCCATGGTGCCCAGATCACAGCGTTGTTATAAGCGGCATCGCTGTTTGTTATCCTGTGTTACAAAGAGACTCGTGGGCCATGGGCGGTGTGGTGCAGCGAGACACAGAGGAAACACAGGGATGCTCCCTGGAACGGGGCTCGGGATGTGGTGTCCTGTATTCCTCACACCCCAGGAGGGGCGCGGGGACAGCGGGGGAGGAAGAGCTGCTTCTGCTCTGAGCACAGCATTTCTGCACGCCACAGGACACCTGTGACACGGTCTTGAGTGCCAGGTGTGTGTGTTGTGCGCCTCAGTCTGCAGAATCTCGTAAAATATGTTCTTGGTCTTCCCCAAACGTAGAAGATTCACATGTCTTAAAATTCCCTTCTTAGTATGGAAGTGAACTCTAGGAAATGGAAACAAAAACAAATTAATACACCCCCTCTCCTGATTTGTTCTTTTCATGATGGTAGAGAGCTCGAGGTCCAGACTGAGTTATTCATTCCGCTTCTCAAAATGAATTTTTGGCTAAGAGGGCTTAGCAGTGGAGTTGCCCGTCAAGCAGTGGGGAAAGGGGCTGCAGGTGGCTAGGCAAGCATGGTCAAAACAGTGTTTAACTTACCTTGTTCGAGCGCGTTAAAAATACCTAGCTATTGAGGGTTTTTGTCATATTAGCAGAATAAGTTTTTTTTTAAGCATTTGTATAGTTTTGGATAGATAGTAAACACTATATAGTGGTAAGAATGTACAAAATGTGAAAGTACAATAGATAGTCTCACTCTATTTTTCCTGTCTCCTGAGTGTCAATTAGGGAGCTCTGGGCCCTCCCTCCCTCCCCTAACCAACCATGTGTGAACCTGAGCCATCTCTGAGCTCTGCCGTGGGTTGTGAGGAGCCAGCTGATAGGTACCGGCTCGCTCTCCAGTGACTTTGCTCTGTCAGTAATTGGCCCTTGGGCTAGTAAAGAGGGTGCGTATTCAAGTAGACTGCATTGTCAGAGCAGGGTAACAAATGAGGAATTTAACCATATGGATATTAGAGAAATGTGACAATTCAGCACTGTGTCTACACAGCCTGTTTCAAGGTTTGCTTCTTACTGTGTTACTGATGAGTACTGATGGGTCTAAGGAAATGCAGGCTTCACTTGCACGTGATGGAGGCCTATCCAACTTGAGACACTAAGAAGAAACAAGTTACTTAATTAGTGATGTCAAAGTCTTAATGTTTTTGTTTTAAAAGTCTTGATGAGTCATCCACAATTTTCGTGAATGCCAACATCAGTGTGGTTGTTTTGTTTGTTTCTGGTGGGCAAAATCGCTACTTGTTAACCCTTCTTTCTGAGGACTTTCTCTAAATCTTCTTGTCCCTACCTTGGGTGATGGGTCCTGGACAGCTTGGTTTCGCTTCTTCATAGGTGACCTCTTCTTTTTTTCTTGCTACTGTCCTGTCTTGCCTTGCGTTGAGGTGACAAATGTGCTCTGTGCTCATACTAACAGTCAGTTTTTAAAGAATTCTTCTGTGTCTCTGTTAGCGATCAGTGTAAATTCAGTGTCTCTGAAGTGACTGGCTTCTGTGACCTGTGGGCAACAGCTCCACTGTGGAGCCCTAGCCCTTCCCGCCAGGTGCCTGGCTCCTGAGCTCTGCAGCCTTGCCATCTGTCTTAAAGCTGTTTGAACTGCAGAGGTTTTAGTTTTTGTTCTGTGGTGACTCCCTGGCCCCTGTCTTCCTGAGTCCTCTGCTTCTCGGTAGCTTGGGAATTCTGTGCTCTGGTGATATGTCTGGATACAATTTGTAAGCCTACACAGCCAAACCATGTGGCTTAAAGTAATTTTTATCCGTTTATTTTTTACTCTTAGGCAATGCGGAATATCAATCGCAGCACAGCCAATTCTCCAAAATGTCAGGTAGGCTCTTCTATGATGTTTTAGCATTGGAAAAAGGAAAAAAAAGAAAATGAGTTAGAAAAGGAGACACTTGTATTCCAGGGCCCTCAGTGTAGATTAGCCAGAGATTATAACTTGGAGTAATCTTTCTACCAAGATGCACAGTGACGATGGCTTTTCCACAGTCCACGTCTGCTGCCCCCGTCTTCACTGGCACACTTGTCCGTCCACATTCGAAGTGGGCTGGCTCACCGCATATTCTGTCAGCTCAGAGTAGCTCTGACTTGAACTTGAATGGCTGAAAATAGGATTTCTTGGTGTCTTAAAGGAAGTACTGGGTTGAACATAGGAACGTGGGAGCCGAGTGCTGGGGGTGAACACAGTCACGAGGCTGGGACAAGGCAATCTTCTAGTGGACATTTCAGAGGAGGAGGCCAAATCCGTCAGGCCCAAAAGGACTCCCCTGGGGTGGGGCCGCGGGCTCGTTTCTTCCTCCCTGTGAACCCCGGCTGCACTGCTGTGAGAGCCTCAGGTGCTGGTGAAGATGGCGGCCAGTGGTGCTCCCTTCCTCACACAGACTCTTGTCTGGTGAGTGTGAAGGGCTCGTTCTTGAAATCCAGGCATTCTCTACGGGCACAGTCCTCTGCAGAAACAAAGCGCTAGGGATCCTTCCCTTAGAGGGACAGAGGTGGCTGTCAAGCCCTTGGTCTTCTGCACAGCTCTCCCTGCACCCCGCAGCCAGGGGAGGGGACTGACTACAGACGAGAGCAAGCACCCCCACTGGAGTGCCATGCTCAGAAAGGTAGACAACCGCAGAGGGGAGAGTTACCCTGAACTCTGTTTGCCTTATCTATGTCGTAAGTGCCTGTGTCTAATCAAAAGACCATGTAAGGGAGCAGGTCTGAACCAGTCTAATCTGCACCACAGTAGATAGAATACACATTCTCAATGTATACCACACCAGTACCCCTTCGATGTGATGGCTACATTGCCTTGAATATCTGCAGAGATTTCTTTTTCTTTATATTTTCTCTGGAGCATTACTTAAAGGAGGCTTTTATCGCATAAATGGACCCAAAACTAACTCAACTAAAAGTCCTATAAGGGTCTGGGAAGGAGGCTCAGTGGTAGAGCGCTTGCCTAGCATGCATGAAGCCCTGGGTTATTCTTCAGTACCACATAAACAGAAAAAGCCAGAAGTGGTGCCATGGCTCAAGTGGTAGAGTGCTAGCCTTGAGGACAAAGAGTCTCAGGGACAGCGCACAGGCCCTGAGTTCAAACCCTGGGACTGGCAAAAAGAAGTCCTGCAAGGTAAAAGTGGATGATGATCAGTTGCCCCTCTCCTTTGCCTTCTCTGCTCTCAACCAACTCTTCAACTGGGAAATGAAGTGTTTTTATGTCATTATTTCACACTTGACTAGGAAGGTAGTTGTGATTTTTCTAACAGTAAAGCTTTAGAAAAGACGAGCCTTGGTTGGGCTGGGTTTTCGCCTCCCTGGAGCACCAAGGCCCATGCCGGGCCAAATCCCTCTGCCGGGAGGGGAGGAGGACAGAAGACCTTAAGGAGATAGGTTCTGTAGAATTTACTTTAAACATACTAGACTTAAATACTGATTTGTTGCGTATGTCAGCAGATACCGTATGTTAATAAGTTGTCCACCTCCTTGTTTTCAATCAGACACAATTATACAGAATACACATTAACTATGAAATTTCAGTATGGGGTTAAATGTTGAGGAGCTCAGATTCATGGACTTGAGCTTTTCTGATGTCATGTGTGTTCTATGTGATCATAGGACAGATGTAGGAACAGAAGAGAGACAACTTCGGTCGGCTGTCGGCTGTCCCAAGCTCAGCTCTAGCTCAGTCATTAAGCCGGGCGTGCTGATCCATGCTTGTGATCTCGGCTGTGTGACAGGCCCAAGGAATGAGGGTCTGCGGCAGAAGCCAGACCCTACCCAGAAAAAGAAGGGGCGGGGGGGAGTCGTGCTGGCCTAGCAAGCACAAGGGCCTGAATTCAGACCCAAATACTTCCAAACCCAGGGAAAGCGGTCGGTTTTCAGGCATAGGTTCTGTGAGGCGTGGGCAGCCGTTAAGACGTCTCCTTGGAGGGAGGCCCCGAAGAACCCAGCAGGTCTGATGAGGACTCAGCAGCTCCGGGGCGTGGTGTCCCTTCTTCGGGCAGAGTAGAGCAGGAACTTGTATCAAGCTCTTTCAGACACCTTGCTGCAGTCAAGATATCTTCAGGGCCGGCTCGCATGCAGAAAGGTGGTGGACAAAGGTTGTAGTTGTTGGTTTAGGCTTTGCTTTGGGGGAGAGGCATTCAAGTCTGCTTTGTTGCCTTGTGGAACTCCGTGTCTGCCTTTGGGGAAGAGGGGAAAGAGAAGGATAAATTCAGCGAGACCCACTGTCCTTGATCACAAAGCATGTAGCATACCCACACACTGTCAGGAAAGATTAAGCAAGGAAGAGACAGTGTGCAACAGGGCGGACAAGAACAACTAAAGCCTGGGTTTGGTGCCAGTGGCCACACCTGTAATCATAACTACTTAGGAGGCTGAGATCTGAGGATCATGATTCAAAGCCAGCCAGGGGGCTAGGAAGGTGGCTCAGTGGTAGAGCGCTTGCCTTGCATGCATGAGGCCCTGGGTTCGATTCCTCAGCACTACATAAGCAAAAAGAAAAAAAGCCGGAAGTGGCGCTGTGGCTCAAGTGGTAGAGCGCTAGCCTTGAGCTGAAGAGCTGAGGGACAGCGCCCAGGCCCAGAGTTCAGGCACCACGACTGGACCAAAAAAAAAAAAAAAACAAAAAAAGCCAGCCAGGACAAGAAAGTCCACAAGACTTAATCTCCAATTAACCATCGAAAAGTAGAACTGTGGCTCAAATGGCAGAACCCCAGCCTTAAAGAAAGAAGAGCTAAGGGACAGGGCCCTAAGTCCAAAACGTAGTACTGTTATCAAAATGCTCCCCCCCACCCCACCTCAAAACCAGGAAGTGCTCTCCACTTTCAAAGAACAAGAAGTATAAAGGGCAAATCTCAGTGTGGGGATGGCAGCAGGCACTGTGCTTTGGTCGGTCTTTGCTGTGAGAGCATGCTACTTTCACCTGCTTCCTGCCTGGTGCTGCGGGCACTTGGCCATTCCCTCTGGTGTCCTTAAGAACTTCATTAGCGTTCAGTCCTAGCTGAAGCACACATTCCTGTGGCCATTTACACTAATGTCAGTGAGGGCAAACGCTAATAAATGTGACTCCAAAGATACTGACATGGAAAACTGTGAAAGAAATTTAAAACTCATTTCTGTGTCTTCGTCAGCTACAGAATTTATCGCCCTTATTACAGTTTGCAGGATTTTGGTAGAAGTTTTTTCATTATATAAGCGCTTTAGGTTTTACGTTCACTTCAGTTACGCACAGTTTTTATATTTCAAAAGCCATTTTGATTCTCAGAAGTCGCCTTTGCGACTGAGCACCTTTGTTTGCGAGATGGAGAACTGACTGTATGGTCTTCCAGGCCTGCTGTGCCCGCTGCGGGGCTCCCGCAGGTCGGTGTAGGACGGCCTTCCAGCTTGGGTCCCAGGGCCTTGTGAGAGATGGGCTTGAGCGAGAGCACAGACAGTTCCTCCTGTGTGGTGCAGTTTTAATGTTTATACTTTTCAGATCAAGTCTAAACTGGAAACTTCTTGGAGTGGGGTGACTGTTTCTATCATTCTCAGTAAGTTGCTCTCCCTTCAGTGAGAGGCTTGCTCACCCCTTCCCTCTCAGCAATTAGGGATTTCCGGTTTCCCTTAGAAGGCTAAGGTCAAAATGAGACCCAAGTGTCCTTGATAGAATTCTTGAAAATCCCCAGAATAGAGGCAGTTATACGACCATCTTCTCCCAGTGACCGGTAGAGTCCAATTTAGGGGGTCAAATTACCATAGGGAGTACCCCAGCACCCTGAGGATGAGCCAGGAAGTTCATGAGTTCAAGACCAGCTTGGGCTACATACAGAACAGGTTCTGTTTATGTAGTGAGACAATAAAAGAAAAATGATACAGGAAATGGACCACAAGAGTTAGAAGCAATGCAATGGGGTGACTGGTGGGCGGGGCTTCCAGCAGGGGCAGGCTGTGCACTCTTTGCACTCTTAGCCAAGGAGTGTAAGAGTAAAACCTACTGCACAAAATGAAGGATTCTGGTGTAGAATACTGAAATTTTGTTTCAGGGTGTCACAGATCTTTTGCTGGTTACTTCAGAAGCAATTATTTTCGCCGGGCATGGGTGGCTCATGCCTGTAATCCTAGCTACTCAGGAGGCTGAGATCTGAGGATCGCGCTTCAAAGCCAGCCCGGGCAGGAAAGACTGTGAGACTCCTATCTCTAATAAAGCACCAGAAAACCGGAAGTGGCGCTGTAGCTCAAGTGGTAGAGCGCTGGCCTTGAGCTGAAGAGCTGAGGGACAGCGCCCAGACCCAGAGTTCAAGCCCCAGGACCGACAAAAAAAAAAAAAAAGAAATTATTTTCATTTGCACAGGTGTAAAAAAGTTAATGTGAAGTTGTTAGTCTAAAACGCAATTCTATTATTGTTCTGTGACAGTTATTTTAACCATATTTCGGGGGTTGGGATCCATCTTGGTGGTAGAACATTTGCCCCATCACCCAGGAGCCCACTTCTATTCATTCCACTAGGAACAAACAGCAACAAAACTTAAAATTCTGAACACACATTTAGGATGGATATAAACCCTTTTTCATAATTGACTTGCCTGAAAACTGATTACAGTTGAAACATTTTATTGAAAGTTGCATCTTATCTATGAATTATTCTTGGATTATTTTATCCTGACTACAATGCCCCAAATTAGAATACTGAGCTAAAAATACAAGTTTGTTAAACTTTTCTTTTCCCAAAGGTAGCTAAAATAGTTTATGACAATCTTTCAAAAATGAGGAAGTAAGCAAACTTATAGGAAATCCAGCCAAAACTTAAATCATGCTTCTGTGTTGCAAAGGTCAAATAGTTCTTCTAGAGTGTTTGACTTTTTCTAAACAAAGTAAGTATTTTTAGCTCATTTTCTTCTGTAATCATACAAAAATGTGGTGGGTTTTCCCAGTGAGCTTGTAAATCTTGCTGGTCTGGGCCACATTTGCACTCAGCCCTCTGTGCTGTGAGCAAAGCCAGTGGCCCTGATTTGTCAGCCCGCGGGCGCCTCGGAGCAACGCAGGAGGCCGCTTGCCGGCTTTATGCAGTGGGCTGTTGTTTTTTTTTTTAAAGGACTGGGAATTGAACTTGTTGTTTGTGAGGCAAACGCTCAGTCACTTGAGCCACAACCCCAGACTTGTAAAGCACTTTCGTGGACCCAGACCCAACTATGAACCATTGACCCTTCTGCTTCCTTTTCTCTTTTCAAAAAACAACAGAAAACACTGAGGGCTGGGGACACATGCAGGGCCTTCAGTTCAAACTTGAGCAACCACAACTACCAAAAAATAAAAGAAGAGAAGGAATGGGGAGGAAAACACTTTCAGGCAATTGGCATTTTGGCTGTGTGTTAAATTTATTTCTTTGGAAAATCGGGAGACAGGCAGTGGAACTGTCAGAAATTTGGAAATATTTAGAATGGTTCTAGGTTTTATTTTTTTTAGGATATCCAAGAAAAATGAAAGCATATGTCTACACAAAGCCAAAATTAAGAAACAACAAAAATGTATGTTTTGATAGCATGTGGATAAGCATTTATAGTAGAATATCTGTAATAAAAGGGAATCGACTGGCCAGGCGCCGGTGGCTCACGCCTGTAATCCTAGCTACTCAGGAGGCTGAGATCTGAGGATTGCCGTTCAAAATCAGCCTGGTCAGGAAACCCCGTGAGACTGATCTCCAGTAAACCACTAGAAAACCGGAAGAGTGGCGCTGTGGCTCAAGCGGCAGAGCGCTCACCTGGAGCTGAAGAGCCCAGGGACAGTGCCCAAGCCCAGAGTTCAAGTCCCACAACCAACCAAAAAAAGGGGGGGGGGAATCAACTGTGTATATATAGCCCAAACAGGTCTCAGCACTGTGCTAAGTGAAAGGTAAGTGCTGTCTGGCTCTGTCTATAGAACACTTGACAGCACCTGTGGGTCTGTGAGGACAGAACAGAGGTTGTTCCGTTCCGTGGACTGGAGTGAGGAAGGTGAGGAGCAGGAAGACATTGGGGCGAGCATGTGGACCGCGGTGGGTGTCCAGCAGCACGCGCATACTAAAGCATTCGTCAGACTGCACTTGCTGCACAAGTTCTCTCTCAGTCATATCTCGGTAGAGCTGAGGCAGGAGTTGGCCTCAAGACCTCATGAGATAGAGGTGCCGAGGCGCAGAGGCGGCTGCGTGGTGGACACTCATCTGAGCGTCCCTGGGGTTGAAGTCAGGACCTGGAGCGGGCTAGACAAGCAGCTCTGCACCCTGCTTTGACTGTCTGTCTGAACAAGGTGTTTCTTGCTGACCTCCATCTGGTCCGTCATCTTCCTGATTTTATTTTTTTTTACATGTTATGTTTTTACTTTTAATGAACATAGATTAATTAGTTCAAGGGGGGTTAGATGTAATATTTCCACCCCTGCATACAGTGCATTCTGACCAAATTTACCTCTGTCATGCTCCCTCATCTTTCTTTCCCTCTCTTAAAACAACAAGCACAAAACCCTTACCAAAAAGTAACTAAAGGGGCTGGAAAGGTGGCTAGTGGTAGAGTGCTTGCCTCGCATGCATGAGGCCCTGGGTTCGATTCCTCAGCACCACATTAACAGAAAAGGCTGGAAGTGGTGCTGTGGCTCAAGTGGTAGAGTGTTAGCCTTGAGCTGAAGAGCTGAGGGACAGCGCCCAGGCCCAGAGTTCAGGCCCACGACCAACCAGAAAAAAAACAAAGAGGACTGGGACTGTGGCTTTTGTGGCACAGCAGCTGCTCAGCAAGCAGAAGACCTGTGTTCACAGCCCAGCACCACTAAAACATATATGTGGGCGAATATCGTGGGAGTGTCTGCCAGAGTTAGGGAAGTTGAGGGACAACTCACCTCGCAACGTGCACATGTTCTCAGGTGACTAGAACTAGATGCCACTGTTTTTGGTCACTTGAAATGTTAGTTGTTGGTCATGGGAGAATGTGTTAACTTTAAAATAGGCATTCAGACTTCCAATTTAAATGCACCTGGTTATCCCAGTGTGCATTGTGTCTTCAGTCTTCACAGTAAATTTGTTCATCTGTGGGTTGACTCTCTCTGTTCCTTTCTGTTTGTTGAAGGAACTCGCTCTCCGCAGCCAGTTACCCACGATGGAGCAGGATGGCGGCACGCAGAACCCCGCGTCTTCCCCCGGGATGACTCAGGAATTGAGGACCATGACCGCCAACAGCTCAGACCCCTTTCTTAACAGGTGGGTGGAAGGTTTGCAGGGATGGCTGCTTGGTCTCCGAGAGCAAGCAGAGCTTTACGATCGCACCGTCCAGTGCGTGTGGAGGTGTGGAGGACACGTGTGTGGGACCAGGTGCCATCACCATATGCGACTTTTCCTGGACAAGGTTCCTGCGAGCACAGGCGGCCTGCTCAGACTTGCGCACAAATTGTTTTTCTCTACCTGTCCTTTTGACTAATAGTTGCTCAGAATTACAGAACCGTGATGGAACATAGTGAATCCTTTCTGTGAACTCAATGAATCTGCGTAGAATTACCGTTTTACAAAATAAGTAGATAATTCAAGAGTGCTGTGCTGTGAGATTCGAGCTTTCTCACTCTGGCAGGTGTTCAAGGAGATAAAAGTGCCTCTTTAAAAAGTACACAAAGGTTTATGGCAGTATTTGTCAGTAATCGCCGGTGGGTGCCTCCTAATGAATTAACACAATCCTTGGGTTTGGGGCGATCACGGGACATCAGGCTGTGGAGTTCTTGTCCGCAGCGACGCGTCCGCCTGTGGCCTGTCCCCTGTCCCCAGAAGGAATTCGGGTTCTCTATTTGGGGCTGGGTTTGGGTTCTGCCCAGAGCGGAAACATGGGTCCCGCACGGGCCTGTCTGCATGTCCACATGGAATTTGGGTGCTGACTGGTGCCCGGGAGAGCTGGGAACAGAAGCCGCAGCGTCTACTCCACCCTCCATTCAACCTTGCAGCCAGAAAACCAGCTGAGTCTGTCTGTCTGTCTGTCTGTTTGTCTATCTGTCTCCCTCTCTCACCACACACAGTGCCTTCGGACAGATCTGTCTTGGTCTCGCAGCGGCGCGGGGGCTTGCATCAAGCAGGCAGGGCCAGGCTCCCACTGATCTCTGAGATTCGAGTTCACTTTTGCCTGGAGCTGATGGTATTGTGTGTGTTTGCAGCGGCACCTATCACTCCCGAGAGGAAAGCACAGACAGTGGACTCAGCATGAGCAGCTACAGCGTCCCCCGGACCCCTGACGACTTCCTGAACAGTGTGGACGAGATGGACACAGGTCAGTGAGCTTCCTTCCTCCCACATGCGCGACTCTAAGCCAGACGGCCAGGGCCAGCAGGCCTGATAAGCACTATGAGCAAAATAATGACATCCAATCAACTCCAGTTCCACTGAGCCTTCCTCCCTCCCACCCTCCCTCTCTCAAGCTCCTTCTGCTTCTCCTTCCTGAGCTCTGGGGCTGCCGGTGTCTGTGTGTCCCTGTGACCGGCTTTGGGAGGCTTTGTTGTGCACAGTTGAAGCCGAGCTGCTCAGGAGCCGTCCTCCCCTGAACGGTGGCCACTGCTCCGCCCGGGACAGCCGCTCTTCCTGGAGTGCTTGGGAAGCCCGCGCCTGTCCAGCTCGCAGCCGGCCGTTCCCCAGGGTCCATACAGCCTCGGCAGTCTTGGTTTTCAGTAACAGCCCCACCAAGCTGCGCGCTGGCTGGCCACGCAGACGCAGAGCGCAGGGAAGCCTGGCTCTGTGCACTGCTGGGTAGCTGCGGACATCAGGGCTGCACAGACAGGGCTTCTCTTCAGCGGTTCCTTCCTATGAGCGCGAGCAGCTGCTCTGATGTCCCCTCGCATGGAGCTCTCCGCTTACCCCTCTTCCTCTCCTCTGAACAGGCGACACCATCACCCAGAGCGGCCTGCCCTCACAGCCCAGCCGCTTCCCTGACTACCTGGAGGGCCTCCCCGGCACGCACGTGGACCTGGGGACGCTGGAGGGCGACGGGATGAGTGTGGAGGGCGAGGAGCTGATGCCCAGCCTGCAGGAGGCCCTGAGCTCCGACATCCTCAACGACATGGAGTCCGTGCTGGCCGCCACCAAGCTAGACAAAGAGAGCTTCCTCACGTGGTTGTAGAGTGCGGGCCGTGGCCAGTCTGTGAAGGAGACGAGGCCCCCCCGACTTCCGCGTGCGCCGCCTGCTACTTCCCGGCTCTTCCCCAGCTGGGGGCGGAGCTGCCGGCCTCCCCGAAGGATCAAGGAAACCCCACAAACAACCTTCTTGTTTCTTTTGCTACTGTACCTACTGTTGGTGTGGCCGCCTGCGTGCCCGCCGCTGCCGCTCCTCTGCCGGTCGGCTGCCCCATGGCTGTCCTTGCGGTCCGTCGGAAGCTGTGTGTTCAGCGGCCAGCCCAGCGGAGCGCACGGCTGCCCGCAGCCAGCGCGGGGCCTCCGTGGCCAAGCCCTTCACACGCATCCCGGAGAGGCCGGGCCGGCCGGCCAGGCTCCCACCTCCACCGTCTACTCCGGTGTTGCATGAGTCTGGCAGAGACCCCGGTTTTACCGTAGCCACAGTTCCCGTACAGGGTGGTAATGACTGCCGCCCGCACTCGCTAGCACAGGTCTGGGTGGATATTTTGGGGAGGGTGTTGGGATTGTTTTATTGTCATGGATGGCTGGTTTTTTGTCAGAACCTACACAGATGACTAGTGATTCTGTTTATAGTTGTAGCTTATGATGGTTATTGTAGTTCTTTTGGTAAAAAGAAACACCTATATTTCTTGTTTTTTTTTTTTTTACCATTTTATTTAAATCTGAATTCTCTGCTCTCTAGACACACACCATGTTTATAACAGTGCCATAGCAGAATGTGTCTTGTCTCATTTTTTAAAAATCTTTTTTAGGTTTGCCTACTTTCCAAGTTACTTTTTAAAGTGAGTTGAGTCTGTATTTACAGCCCGTGGCGGTGGTGAGGTCTGTGTGAGGCCTGCTCGCTGCCTGGAGGTGTCTAAATAAATGCATCCAGGAGTGGCCGGAAGCCAACCAGAACAGCCCCCACCCCACCCCCGCCACCCCCGCTCTGGGCTAGTGAGTGATGCGGGACGGGTGAGCTTGGCAGCGGCTTCCTCCAGCTCTGGAAGTTCACCTTTGCCTCAGATTCGGAAGTAAATTTTAATGTTTGGTTCTCAGTTTTGAATGGACGCATTGGAGCCTGGGTTGAAGTGTTGCTGAGTCTGCGAGAGGCGCCCCATCTGCTGCGACCCGGCCTCGGGGCCCTGTGCAGAGAGGGAGTGGCGCTCAGCTGCGAACTGGTCAGGTTAATCGATGTATGTGGGTAGTTGAATTTAGCAAAGAAGTAGATCTAAGCATGCCTGTGTCTTTGTATTTACGAAAAGAGCTGTAACTAGAGTATATGTCTAAAGGAATAGCAATGGTTTCCAAAGAATATTTTTAAAGGAACTAAGTGAGCATGAATTAACTCTTCAATATAAGCTATCAGGTAATAGTTGGTTATGAATTGTAACAGCACCAGCCTCTGTGATTTTAAGGGTCTTTGCTTCTGGTAGAAGCCCTTATTTTCAAGGGTTTTTAACAGACAAAAATCTCTTTTCCTGGATAAAGCTGGCAAAAGCCTCAGCTTTTAGGAAGGTAGATTTTCTTTTCCTTTTTTTTTTAATTACAAAAATCATAAGTATTTTGGCCCTTTGCTTTGGAGGGTGGAAGCAATTTTAAGTACTTAGAGTGTTCAGAAGCTGCAAGCCTTGTATTATATATAATGATCAGTAGGTTGATCTTTCATAGTAATTGACTCTTAAGGATTTTATTAAAAAGTAGCCAAAAGATTCAATGCTGAATGAAGTCTGGGGGGAAGGAATGGGCCTATGCAGAGGCACTGGGTTTAGAACAGTGACGAAATTCTACCTGCAGCACAGAACCGAGAATGTGGGTGGTGGGGAGATGGGGGCTGCGTCTACCAGTAAGCCCAGCTTGGATCGCATCTTCTTTATGGGCAGAGTAGCTTTAGCTGAGGGGGGTGGGGGTGGGAGTGGCTCTGGAGAGAGTGTGGGACAGGATGAACCTTGATGAACGGCCTTCTCTTCAGCACACACTTACCTTGCCTCCTGCTGTCGCTCAAGGCGGTCAGGCGTTCTAAAACTTCCGTCTCTCCCATGGACCCAGGGCCCCGTGTGCAGCCTTCCGCCCTCACGCCCCGGCGTGGTTTTACCTCAGCGTTCCGCAGCCCGGCTTCCCGGTCCGCAGCTGCCCTCACCCTGCTTTCTTTCTCCCAGTAACAGCCTGCAAGCAGGCTTCTTTGTGCGCCTTGGTTCCTGACCAGAAGGGGTAGCGCCTCTCGCTTGTGTTGGGTAGCATGGGGTAAGAATTTAACTGGTTATTCTTGAATTTCTTTTGCAATAAACCAATTTTATAATCTTTAAATTAATCAGCTTTTTACAGTTGTGTTCTTTTAAAGTCACGGCTTCTTAGCAAACTCATGAGTGAAGGAGCACATTGATTTGGGAATTCCACGTTGACCAGAGCACTATTTTTGTAGTAACCATTTTCTAAATATAGTGCATTAAAAAAAAAAAAAGCAAAAAAAGCAAGGCAGTGGCTTTGATACACACGGTGTTGGTGTTTCCAATCCTCCAGTAGGCGCGTTGTGTGTGGAAGGTGGCAGGAAGACGGGAAATGAGATGAGGCCTTCTGATTGCATACAGGTCAGAGCTGGGGGGGGGGGAGCAGTAGGGAGTGGGCGGGGTCTGTTTGTGAGCCCTCCCACAGCCTGCCTGTCTGCCGGAAGAGCTCAGATGAATTCTCTTGTCTTTGTAGGCGTGGTTTTATAAGAACTGTGTGGGTATGTCTATCTTAACAGTTATTTTCTGTATCTTGAAAAAAAGTATTCTCCACATTTTAAATGTTTTATATTAGAGATGTCTTTAATACACACTTGTCAAATATATTTTATATATATATATATATTAGTACCCATGTTACCTTTTTTGTTGTAGATGTTAAGCGCATGCTCATACTAGGTACTTAACATGAATTGGTTACATTATTTTTCCTTATGTAATACCTTTTTGTTTGTTTTTTGTGATTCAAATATATTCTTTCCTTAAACCCTTCTCCTTGTTTTCAACAGTTGGTAAGATTATTTTTTGGGTTTTTTTTTTTGTGAACTTTTCCTGCAGAACAAGAACTAGTTGTGAAGGCGGTAGAGTGGTATGGGCAGGCAGTGAGGAGCTGTTGCTTCCTACAGTCAGACGCGGTACTTGGAACTTGAAAGCATAAAAGCTCCTGACGCGGAGCTCTGGTCCTGACCTACTGCATCCTCATGGTAGAACACGTCTTCTTCATTCTTCAAGGACACAGTGGGAACTGAGACCAATGTGACACTGTCTTTCAAATGACCTTTGGTTTTATTTCTTTAAAGGACATTCACACTAGTGCATGGCAGGACAGCCAGGAGCCAGCAGCTCACACCTGATCCTTGCTCCTGAGGAGGCTGAGATCTGAGGATCACAGCTTAAAGCCAGCCCAGGCAGAAAAGTCCATGAGACTCTTACCTCCAGTTAACCCCCCAAAAACCCACAAGTGGGCCTTTCAGCTCCAGTGCCAGCCTTGAGCAGAAACAGCTCACACACCATGTCCAAACCCTGAGTTCAAGCCCCAGGACCAGCACGGGGGTGGGGGCAGGCTGCCCTGCATGTTGGCTGAGATGTAGGCCTGCTTTTAGAAATGGGGGATAGCCTCAGCTGCTGGTGCATGCAGTCAGGAGGCAAATCCAAAAGCTTGACTCCGCTGTGGACGACGTCCAGAACGCTGGCTGTGTGGAGCCAAGCGTAGTGGCCATGGGTCCTGGGTGAGGAATCCTGAGATTCAGTCCCTGGAGCCAGAGGAAGGGCTCACCTGACTCGTCTAACGAGCTGCTGTGAGCGCTGCTTCTTGGCAAGGTGGATGACCATCACTGGTGCTGACAGGAAGCCTGGGTGACGGCGCTGTGTTCTCAGGGCTGTTGGTGAGCTGGTGGTTGGTGAGCTGGTGGGTGACGGGGCTGTGTTCTCAGGGCTGTTGGTGAGCTGGTGGTTGGTGAGCTGGTGGGTGACGGCGCTGTGTTCTCAGGGCTGTTGGTGAGCTGTTTGTTGGTAAGCTGGTGGTTGTGTTTGATCCTTTTGATTTCTGTTTTTTGAGCCCCTCCTTCTCGCAGCTGCAGTGGGCTGTTCCCATTGGCTCCAGGGTCTTTTGTCCACTCCACAGTGGCCAGGTGGGTGCCACCATACCACTGCATCCCACCTCCAGCTGTTGGTGTGCTGTGTTCAGGGCTGCGGTGATCAGCTGTCTCTCCTCTTCAGTCTCTGAACTGAGGGGCTGCTCAGGAGGATCACCTGAGCCCAGGCAACAGAGCAAGACCCTGTCTTCAAAACACGGAAAAGCCAAGCAGTGGTGGCTCACGTCTATAAACCTAGCCACTCAGGAGGCTGAGATCTGGAGGCTGACAGCTCAAGCCCAGCCAATCAGGAAGCTGAAGTAGGAAGATCCTTCCAGCTCAGGAGTTTAGGGCCAAGCCTAGGCAATGCAATTAGCATCCCGGAAAGACACAACTTGGGCAGGGCTTTGTTCTGAGTAGGAGTAGCCTCTTGCAGCTCTTAACATGCTTTTGAGAGTTGTGTGTCACACCTTTATCCACATATCTGCCCCATGGCCTTTGGAGAATCTACAACATAATTGCCTGGCACCTATGGCTCATGCCTACAATCCTAGCTACTCTGGAAGCTGAGATAAAAGAATCAATGTTCAAAGCCAGCCCCAGGCAGGAAAGTCCCTGAAACTCTTTATCTGCAATTATAGTACAAGCTGGAAGTGATGCTATGGCTCAAGTGGTAGAGTGTTAGCCTCGAGCAAAATGAAGCTCAGAAGTGGCACCCAGACCTTGAGTTTAAGTCCCGGGGCCAACAAAACGAGGTGTGTGTGTGTGTGTGTGTGTGTCTGTGTGTGTGTGTGTGTGTGTGTGTGTGTGTGTGTGTGTGGTGTGTGATGGTGTGTGTGTGTGTGTGATGATGGTGTGTGTGTGTCTGTGTGTGTGTGTGATGGTGTGTGATGGTGTGTGTGTGTGTGTGATGGTGTGTGTGTGTCTGTGTGTGTCTGTGTGTGTGTGTCTGTGTGTGTGTGTGTCTGTGTGTGTGTGTGTGTGTGTGTGATGGTGTGTGTGTGTCTGTGTGTGTGTGTGTGATGGTGTCTGTGTGTGTGCGTGTGCGTGTGTGTGTGTGTGTCTGTGTGTGTGTGTGTGGTGTGTGTGTGTGTGTGCGTGTGAGTGTGTGCGTGTGCGTGTGTACATACATGCACACCATGCTGAAATCCACATGCACCAAGCCCCTGGTGTCCTTCCCTGGGTCTGGCCAGAGCTGCATGTGGAGACAGTGCTGCTTGAGGATGCGGTCCTTTGGACACATCACATGTCTCTTCTGTGTTCTAGGCTAAAGGAATTTCTGTGGGATTCTATGCCAAAAAGAAGGAAGCACGCTTGTTCACGGCGGGCGCACACCAGCTGCCCTGTGTGGGACGCCTTGGTGGGCCGCAGCGGCCCGCGCTGGCCAGAACGGGGGTCATGTGAGTGAAATGTAACAAGCTTAAGGCAAAAGAAAAAGAATTCCAAACTCCCATCAGTCTTCCAAAATCACCAAAACGGCTCAGGCCTGAGAATTTGCAGGAGCCGTTTGCTCTTTCCTGTTAAATGCGGCAGATCTAGAGAGGCGTCCCTCGGCATTGGTTACCTGCCCTCTGCCCTCTGCCCCCTGCCCCCTGCCCCCTGCCCCCTGCCCCCTGCGGGCTGGACTTCGCGCTCCGGCGTAGAGTGCCACAAGGCACTGCTCCAGGACCAAGGGACATTTTTAGGTTCCCCGATGGGCCATGACTCTTCCATCCCATTTTTTGAAGCCCCGTGCACTCTGGTCAGAGAGGCGGGGCCTTTTGTGATTGATAGGTCAGATCCCGGGTCCGGGGAGGTGCTTTTGACTAACACAACAGATGGGAGCATGTAGTAGCCAAAGAAAGAGTGCAAAAGGCAGGAAAATAAATACAATAGTTGAGGAGAAGCAAGAATTTGGGTTTGGTGAGCCATAAATACGTAGCAACTTAACAATTTAGTTGTATGTGTCGGTACGGGGGCTTGAACTCAGGGCCTGGGTAGTCTCCCTGAGCTGCTGTTTTGCTTGGTGCTACCACTTTAGCCACAGCTCCACTAATGGCCTTTTGGTAGCTTATTGGTGGTAAGAGTCTCACATGGGGCTGGGAAGGTGGCTCAGTGGTAGAGTGCTTGCCTAGCATGCATGAAGCTCTGGGTTCGATTCCTCAGTACCACATAAACAGAAAATGGCAGAAGTGGTGCTGTGGTTCAAGTGGTACAGTGCTAATCTTGAGCAAAAGAAGCTCAGGGACAGCGCCCAGGCCTGAGTTCAACCCCCAGGACTGGCCAAAAAAAAGTCAAGACTTCCTTGCCTTGGTTGGCTTCGAACCATGATCCACAAATCTCAGCTTCCTGTATAGCTAAGATTACAAGCATGAGCCACGGATGCCCGGCCTGTCTTGAAGCAAGTTTTAAGAATGGCTCTGCAGATGTCGCCTCCACCCCCAGGCAGCAGCCCTCACCGGCGGGGGGCACGGGGCGCCGGGGCTCTGTGGGGCTCGCTTTTCTTCCTGGGATGCAGGAAGGCATCTTCCTAAGTGGTCTGTGTCTCCTGCTGGTCCCAGTTTGCTGAGTCCTGCCTCTGCCGGTCCGAGACTTTCATCGTTGCATAGAACACGCACAGCACGGTGCCTCTGCGGGTGTCTGCTGCCATGGATGAAATCAGCGGGCATGTCGCTTGGGACATCTTCCCACCCCGCGTGGTGGCCTGCAGAAACTGGCTGGTGTTCCTTCCTCTTTGCCGTGTTTTTCCGCACAGCCGAGACAGGATGGAGCAGTTCACCTCCTGAGCATCCTCCCCACCCATCCCGTTCCCTCCACTTGAGTTACTCCTCTAGCATCATGGCAAGGAATCTGGCATCTCGGCTTCAATTAGCATGGCTCAGCCAGGGTGCTCACCAGCGCCCACCTGGGTTTGTGCCTTGCTGAGACCGGCGACTTGGACTTGGCTTAGATTGCTCTCACTGGCTTTTTACACATTCACACGTGTGTGCGGTGCACTCCAGGCCCTGCCCCAAGTTGCTGTTCCGGGACCTCCCTGGACCGACCAGAGCTCCCACAAGCAGGACTGGCTGGCTTTGGTATTGATTTAGGCTAACAAGTGAACCCAGGATGTGCATCCAAGGACCCCACCTGGTTCCATGGAAGGAATTCTTTCCTCCACAACGGATGCACAGGCTCTTTCCACAGGACACGGCCTGCTAGCTGGGAGGTTTGGGGGCCAGCTTCTAACAAGATGGAGTGGACAGCCTGCGTGCAAACTCTCCTTGAAAGTGCTTTTCCTTGTTTTCCAGTAGAAATTGGCCTCGATGTTCTCTAGGAGAAATGACGGCCTGCCGTCCCCCTCCCCCAGCCTGCCGTCCCCCTCCCCCAGCCTGCCGTCCCCCCGTCCCCTCCCCCAGCCTGCCGCCCCCCTCCCCCAGCCTGCCGCCCCCCTCCCCCAGCCTGCCGCCCCCCTCCCCCAGCCTGCCGGGTGGGGGGCAGGTGAAGAGTGAACTTCCCTTGTACGTGACCAGCGATGGGTTTTCAAGTGAGGCAGGATCAGCGTGTCGGAGGCCTTGTCTAGGGAGTGCAAGGCTGGGGGTCGGTTCCCAGCATGCCCACACTCACACTTCGCCTGCCTGGGCCTTAGGAACCCCATCTGGGGGTGAGGCGCCTCCGCGCTGCCCCCTCGGTGAGACGGACTTCTACCTCCGCAATGTACGAGGGCCGGGCCAGTCGCTGCTCCCGCCTGGCCTTGGTTGTTTCCTTCTTGGCTCTCTGTCCACACCTGCAGACGGAGCCCATTTCTTTGAAACAGTCCATCCCTCCCAATATCGTCTCTGCTTTCAGGCATTCTAGATAGAACAAGGTCCTGTTGGTTGATGTTAGAAAAGTATGGTTTTAGAAGTCAGGTCTGCAAGCTCCAGGAGCTGAGGAAGGAGTTCTAGACCTTCCTAAGTC